AGGAAGGAAGGAAGGAAGAAAGAAAGAAAAAGCAAGCAAGCAAGCAAGCAAGCAAGCAAGCACTGGGTGGTGTTCAAACCAATAGAAGGCAAATAAAGCTGTATGAATAAAATTGAATCCAGCTAATACTGTAGCAGGCAAGCTGTCCCCTCACTGAAAGCTCTGAGCAATTTTTTTCATTTTTGAGATAGTATCTCTCCATGTAGCCCAGGAAAGCCTTGAGAGCCTCTTGTTTCTGTCCCCTCATTTACCCTGTGTGCTGGGATTACAGGTAAATGCTACCATACCTGGCTTGAGTAAATGATTGTTTTCGAAAGAATACTCCATTTGCTTTTGAAAAACCACAGGTGAAATATTCTTAAACCCATCACTTTATCAACACTTTCTAGTCTACATTGTTCCTCTTAAGTTCAAAGACACAACCACAGTCTTTAGAGACTCCACATTTTGACTACACAGTAAGTTATTATAGTAAGGATTCCTTATGAATCCCAATCCAAGGTGCAACTAGTACCTCTGCACAGTTCAAAGTCCACACCTGGGGAATCCCTTATCCTATTCTCTGTGGCAGGAAGGATTCAGCATAGCTCCAACTAGTGAGCCATGCCTGCAACATTAGAATATCTAGTGAAGCAGGGAACAGTAACCAAAAGAAGACGGATTTGGACCACTCAGTCACATGTAATACATACCATACCTTGCTATTCTAAAAAAATGCACCTGAAGCCATTAGAAAGGACAAAATAATTGCATTCGCAGGAAATGGATGGAACTAGAAAAAAACATTTGGAGCGAGGTAAGCCAAGAGCAAAGAGACAAACAACACATCATCTCCCTGATATGTGGATGTTAAATGCAAGGAGATATGACAAAGTAAACAGGACTAGAGACACAAGGACCTCCACTCATCTTGTCGTATTATTCCTAAATGACTCCATGCTGTTGATCACATATATGGCATATATATGCACATCTGAGGGAAGCTAGGAGGAGGACACAGAATCAGAGGGAAACAGGAAAACATACAACAGAGGGGCCCGTCAGCTGCACTGGACACTGATGAAAACGAACTAAGCAACGCAAGGGCAGCGATGGGAGGGAGGGAATGCGAGGGATAGAGGGAACAGCTAACACTAAGCAAAGGGAAAGAAATGTGCACACCACCTGATGTGGAAGATGGCTATATTGTCAAAGCTCATAGAATTCACAAACTTTATAGACCACAATAATGACAATTTGCCTCATGAAGGTTAGAATGTGTTTGTGACTTTAACTAAGTATCACTATCTCACAATACTGTGAAGTTTGTGAAATTTATGTAATCACCTAGTCACAATAAAAATTATATATAAAAAAAGAAAATGCAGCTTAGAAATATAAAAAGGCAGACTACAAAATTTTTTACACATAATAGACAACAACAATATTCCATTTAAAAATCATGCCACAACAAAAAAGTCAATGTTTCAGTGATGTTTGATAGTATTTAGTTACCATTTTGAAATAATTTATTTAGGAAATATTTTTAATGTAAAGCCATATTTTAGAGGACATGTAAGAAGATACTTAAGTTCAACAAATAAAATAGCAGAATTTTTATGATCAAATACTATACATTTAAAATAAATTATTATTTTTAAACCTATGCTAGAATTCACAGCAGTTTGAATGGCAAATATGAAAGAGTTGTTCTACACAAACAAGTTTCATAAGATGTGATTAACTACTCATTTAATGAACTATTTCACTAAATCAATGCATTCTGTGTGCATGTATGTGTGTGTATGTATATACACATATATGAGTATGCATGCACATTATAATAAAGAAAATCACACCACTTATTTTAGGGTTAAATATGATCACAATCTGGGAAAACACAGTTCAAGTCTTAAAAATGTGCTGTTACATTGGGTGTTTCTTTATGTATGAATCTTAAAAGTTTCTAAATTTAAACCTCAAATACCATGATCATATTTTACAAAACAGATTTGGTATATTCAGGATTTCAAAATGTCACAAAGGAAGTATTAATGACTAAGTGAATTTTCAGAACTTGGTAACAATCTTTAAAGATAAATTCACAATTTTTTTAAGCTTTGACTTCACAAAAATTTTTAGTAAGGACAATCCAGATTAACATGTTATCTAAAATTCTGTTTCCAAGGAAACAATCCTAAGTCCCAGTGCACTGTTTTAAAAAAATCACTTTTATAAATTTAGATACTGTAACATCAAAGGCAAAGTATTAAATATAACTGCCTTACTTTCATCTCCCCTTGCAGGCTTTTAAAACAAGTTGACTTCTCTCTTTTCTGGACCAGATCCCTAGTCTTCTTCTACCCCTTAATACTAGGTTAAGGGCAGATAAAAATCTTAATTTCCAAATTGGCTGTCTAACAATGCAGCCAGGCGCACATACATGAGAGTAGACCAGGCTCCAGTATGTAGTGTGTTTAACAGTGAACTTCCTAACACCTTTTTCCTTAGAACTTCATAGCACAGCCAGCAGAGAGAGGAAGGAAGTGCTCTCACCTGCACATTTCACTCCCTGAGCAATGAGGCCCCACATGAAGTTGGCACAATATTCACACCAGTGTGGGCCTCGGAACGTATGGACCTGAAAAAGAAACAGGGCAAAGTGGGAACAAGGTTAAACACATAGAAGCGATCGTTTCATGTCAAAGCATGGTATATAAGCCAAATCTGTGGAAGAGGCAAAATGGCTACATTTAGAAGAACTTCAATTGAGTGGAACTGATAAACAGTTAACATTTTTTCAAAGCCTGACTTCCTCTTTCAGAAGTGATGACAAATCAAATCGATATTCTGAAATTTACTGTTAGAAGCAATTTCTATAGTGAAATATTCCAATGAGTCTCCTCAGGCATAAGCAGCCTCTTCTATCTTATCTAAATACAAACATTTGTGAACATGATGACATAAACAAGGATAAGAAGAAAAATAGAGTACGTGTTGGATTTGCAAAGATTTTGTCAGATGATCCACCTTCTGTTACCATACTGGGTAACAGATGTTATTGATTAACTGACTAGCTACAATTAAATAATCAAAAAGTACCAATTTCTGGGGCTGGGAAGGTGGCTCAGTGGTAGAGTGCTTGCCTTGCATGCATGAGGCCCTGGGTTCAATTCCTCAGCACCACATAAGCAGAAAAAGCTGAAAGTGGCACTGTGGCTCAAGTGGTAGAG